TCAAAGTCTTTTTCTCTCAGACACGTTTTGGTGTCTCTGGCAGAACATCAACAAACAATGTCCAGCTCGACAGACAAAGGTGGGGAGACAATTAGCACAGTATATTTCCCTGATTCCTCTAAGTCAGTTTTTTTTTGTTTTGATTTTTTTACACGGAACACTTGCTGGAAAACCTGTCACTAACGATCACACTTAAGAAGCTAATATTTGTCCTTTTTAATGCCAGACAAAAACATTTAAGTGTTTCTTAGGTCAGCTTTTGCATGTAAAATCCATGTTTGGAATTGTAGCTACTATTTATTTATGTTACTCCGATGCATTTGTATATATATATATATGGCGAAGTAGATAAAACTCAGCTGGTGTTGGGTTTTCATTGGCTGTGTAGACGTCAAGTATATAATTTAATGGCGTTAGTCTTAAGGGCTCTATCAATTTTTAAATTCTATCTATGTTTTGTTTTCATTGGTTGTGTGGAGGTCACGTGAATGCATCACGGTATCTGTGTGGATGTTTAATCTTTGACAATTTAATATAATTTAAGCGTGTATTAAAAAAAACTGGCGGAGAATAAATATTTTCATGTAGTTGTCAACTGATAAAAAATTGACAACTTATTTAAAATATTGTAAATGTCTTCATTTGCATATAAAGTTATTACCAGCGAGGTACTTAATATCAGACGACTTGTAAAAAAAAATCGACATGGAGAACTTAATGGCACTGGGCGTTCATCGTTATAACATTGTTGTTGTATAATGTCTCTAAGAAATCCAAATCAAAGAAGGACTTGAACATTAATATCGGTGTTAAAACAAATGAACTGTTTTGGAAACAGACAGTATATGGCGCGCTCGGAGGAAAAAAGGCTTATTCAATATTTGATAATTTTGTGGCAATACGCGCTTGAAGGTTTTAGACAGTTTTGATCAACATTTCTTTTCATGGTCAGCCGTAAGGAATTGTAAATATAGGACTAACTCACACTTAAATAAAATAATAATAATACTATTTATTAAGGATTTATTACAGGAAATATCAAGATTTCTGGAAACATTGTGGACAAATATGTATTTAATTACATAACAAATAAATAAAAACAATATACATTTTGAGGCCATATTCGATATGCTGTTAGGTGTTTTTCATTTTCTCTTTCGTTGTTGGCAGCATTTTAAAATAATTTGGCTGTAATATAATGCTCTATTCAATTTAGTTTTAGGTATTTTTAATTTTCTCTTTTTATAATCAACAGCATTTTAAAATACATTATTCGCAATGCTAAGTTCCCTAAGTTGAACAAACTGGGGCTATTTCGTTTACACTTTATTACCTCTCTTTTCCATTGTTGTTTTTAGATCGCTTTCTTCCAGTCATTTGGATGGGCAATGGCGAATTTCTGAAATTTAGAATGATATTATTCCATTTTAAAAATAAAGCCTGTAAAGAAAAAAATATTTTAAACTAATACACGACCAAATATGACAAAAACATCTATCATCTTTACTATCTATCTATCTTGCGGCGTCAGCCGAGATTGAACTCACCAAAACTTTGATTGGTGTAGTTCATAATCTTGTCAAATAGCTAAATTCTTGATGCTTCGCTCGGGCTATCAAGGGTGACACCAACACTAAATGGATTGCCAACCAAGGCTCAGAGAGACTCCATTCACACTCCTCTAAGAGCAGGTTTGAATTCAGAGTTTTCCTTCTCCTAGACCAGTTGCCATCCAAGGCTATAGAACCCAGTCTGTCCTGCTATTTACCCATAGCTGGAGGGAGAAGAAAGAGGATCCACACCTTTCCCAAGGGTGTTAGCACGTAAGTGATTGAAATGGATTCGACTGGAATTCGAACACGGCTCTCCGATTCTTCAATCCAAGCCGCTATCTATTACTCCACCGTGCTTCCTTTAATCATCTCACTATAATTACGTAACAATGTAATGATATTCCGCAGATAAATCTACAGTTTATGTTACCTCATCTCATTGCATGGTTACAAATTATAAACCTAAACCTAGCTTGAAATATTGTATAATCAGCTATAATTTTTTTGTAAAATATTTGGATATGATATAATGAATAATTTGCAGTGAAGAAAGACATTTTCGATTTTTTATTGAATGTAACACCTCCTCTGCCGAACGCGTCATATATTATAGAAATGGTTTTGGCATTAATACCAAATGGAAGAAAAGCATCCATAGACACTGGAAGAACCATCACAGTATACACATAGAAAACCGCCATTAAAAACACTATCAATAACATTCCATCATTTCCGGTAGAAACTTCGATGGGCTTGGAAGACCTGCACCATTTTCGAGAGGACAAGGAGAGTTAGAAAGTTTATAAGAATCGTCTGATTCGGTCTGGAAACGCAGCCGTGTCATTGTTAAACGGGACACTTCTCAGTTAACTCACTACTACAAACGTTAAACGTTGAAGACAGACTAGTCACAAATGTACACGAAGGACAAATGTAACCTAGTCTACATGACAACACAGTAAACTTTCTTTGAACTTAAATAACGCAAAAACGAAGGATTTTCGGACAGATGTTTATATGAACGTGTGCTTTGTTTGTAAAAGTATTTTGATAAATACTGTATACATGTCCCTCACTATTTTAATCTGTTCAAATGAATTCAATTTCCTCTCTCCTTTTCTCTCTCTGTTAGTCTCCATATCACTTTTTCTCTCTCATCTTCTCACTCTTTCTATATATCTACCATGTCCCTTTCCGTTACAGTTTTTTCCTCTATCTATCTATCTATCTATCTATCTATCTATCTATCTATCTCCATTATCTACGTACCTCGATATTTTCATATTCTTTGTATATCTATTTTTTGACTGTCTCTTTTAAGATCGCCATATCCTGAGTCTATATAATAATAATAATAATAATAATAATAATAATAAATATCCGCAAATTATGAAATTTCCATGCAATGTGAACAGAATTTCGTCAATGGGCCTATGAGATATAATTATACAGTACGTTATTATGCAAACATTTTTTTCCTGCATTTGTATAATGACTTTTGATTTTTATAACAAATTCAATAACTTGAATAAAACATTTCTGAGATGACGTATTATGTGCACTATTTACATTATTCGGACTATTGTCCACATCTTTGCTGCCATATTTCTCACAAAGTTTCGGTCGTCGTAATCTCCGGCCGTTCTCAGGTGGTAAAATCTCTGACCGGGAGATTGGACGTTTTGAGGAACGTGGAATCAACTCTTAAATGCTGTTGTTCCCAAGTTCACTGTGACCCGGTTTAGCAGCACCTGTTAAATGGCCCCTGTTTCTTCTTCTTCTTCTTCTTCTTCTTCTTCTTCTTACAATTTTTTGCTTTTTTTTTTCGTTTTGTATTTTCTTCTATCAGATCTATGTATTTTTCTTCGCCTTAATTATAATTGTAGTTGTTGGTGGTGTTGTAGTTGTTGTTGTTGTTGCTCTTCTTCTTCTTCTTCTTCTTCTTCTTCTTCTTAAAACTTCTAATGTCTTTTTCTATCAGACTTTTTCTTCGCTTTAATTATAATTGATTATGTTGTTGTTGTTGTGGTGGTGGTCCTTCTTCTGTCTTCTTCTTCTTCTTCTTCTTCTTCTCCTCCTCCTCTTTAATAATAATCAGTATTTTTCTTCTTCGCTACTTCTGCTACTTCGCTTCTTTTTCATTTTTCTTTTCTTCTTCATCTTCAGTTTCTTCTTCTTCTAGAAGATTTTTTGCACCTTAATTATAATCGATTAATTTTTCGCTTTTTTTTATAATCATTCTTTTCCTTTTACTTCTCTTTTGTCTACATCTTTTTCACACATTTTTTCTTTAATCTTCATCTTCGCTTTCTTCTTCTACCAGATTCCATTCAAGTTGTTGTTGTTGTTGTTGTTGTTGGTTTTTTGTTTGTTTGTTTGTTTGTTTGTTGTTGTTGTTGTTGTTGTTGTTCTTCTTCTTCTTCTTCTTCTCAGGTTTTCCTTCCTTTTAATCCCCTTTTTTTCTTCTGCACTCATATTTTTTTCGCTTTAATTATACTTGTTTTTTATTGTTGTTGATGTTGTTGTTGTTCTTCTTCTTCTTCTTCTTCTTCTTCTTCTCGTTTTCTCCTTGTTTTCAACATTCTATTTTCTACTTCTTATTAACAGATTTTGTTTTTCTTTCACTTTAATTATAATCGTTGCTGTTGTTGTTGTTGTTCCCCTTCTTTTTCTTCTTCTTCTTCTTCTTCTTCTTCAGAAATCTATTGGTTTTGTGATACGACCTCCTTATCAACGCCACATGAATGCCCTTCAAATAATTATTTCCTCTATTTGTGTCCCCTGAGGTTAAAACGAAAAAGAATCAGGTTGTTTGCAATTCAGTTTTTAAAAAAATAACACATATACAGGAATGCGTTCCAAATTTCTGCAAAGAACGAAACGGTCGCCATATTGGAGCCAGGTGTACAAGGTTTTTCTGATCGGTCTGGAATTACAGATCGGCTCGATAATTTGGCGGTAGGGGAGAGAGAGATGTTAGCGAAGCGCTCCTTCCATTTTCACGAACAGTTTGCCTTCTTTAAAATAATTGCCGCACTGACTGTTAAAAAAAAGTGGAAAAATACTTTTCGTTTTCTCTGTGTGAGAAGATTATAAAAATAAAAGAGGTATAAAATGTTTCCGTTTTATTTTACAAAAGAAAATTCAACATGAGAAAAATGATATGTGGGGAGTTTGAAGAAATAATGAGAAGATTGGATGCGTTTTTATCGTGGAAAATTCCAAAGATAGACGAAGGGAAATGAGTTGATTCAACACCGGAAAAAATGGGAAGAAAAAAATTGGAAAACATTAAAAGAAAATGTAAGAGGAAAGAAAAAGATAGAAGCAAGGAGAAAACGAAAAGGTAAAGAAAAGAAATTGTCAAGAATAAAACGAAAAAGAAAGAGAAACAACGAAGCAAGAAGAACCGAAAAGGAAAGGAAAGAAAAAGAAAGGAACAAGAACTTAACGAAAAGGAAAGGAAAAGAAAGAAGCAAGAACAAAAGGAAAGAAACATAACGGAGCAAGACCAAAACGAAAAGAAAAGGAAAGAAAAAGAAAGGAACAAAAGCAAAACGAAAAGAAAAGGAAAGAAAAAGAAAGGAACAAAAACAAAACGAAAAGAAAAGGAAAGTAAAAGAAAGGAACAAAAGCAAAACGAAAAGAAAAGGAAAGAAAAAGAAAGAAGCAAGAAGAAAAGAAAAGAAAAGAAAGAAAAGAAAAAGAAAGAAGCAAGAAAAAAGGAAAGAAAAATAACGGAGTAAGACCAAAAAAAGGAAAGGGAAAAAAAAAAAAAGGAAGAAAACCAAAATGAAAAAGAAAAGAAAAAGAAAGGAACAAAAGCAAAACGAAAAGAAAAGGAAAGAAAAAGAAAGGAACAAAAGCAAAACGAAAAGAAAAGGAAAGAAAAAGAAAGGAAGAAAAGCAAAACGAAAAGAAAAGGAAAGAAAAAGAAAGAAGCAAGAAGAACCGAAAAGAAAAGAAAAGAAAGAAAAGAAAAAGAAAGAAGCAAGAAAAAAGGAAAGAAAAATAACGGAGTAAGACCAAAACGTAAAGGAAAGGAAAAAAAAAAAGAAAGGAAGAAAACCAAAATGAAAAGGAAAGAAAAAGAAAGGAACAAAAGCAAAACGAAAAGAAAAGGAAAAAAAAAAAAAAGAAGAAAAGCAAAACGAAAAGAAAAGGAAAGAAAAAGAAAGGAAGAAAAGCAAAACGAAAAGAAAAGGCAAGAAAAAGAAAGAAGCAAGAAGAACCGAAAAGAAAAGAAAAGAAAGAAAAGAAAAAGAAAGAAGCAAGAAAAAAGGAAAGAAAAATAACGGAGTAAGACCAAAACGTAAAGGAAAGGAAAAAAAAAAAGAAAGGAAGAAAACCAAAATGAAAAAGGAAAGAAAAAAGAAAGGAACAAAAGCAAAACGAAAAAGAAAAGGAAAAGAATAAAAGGAAGAAAAGCAAAACGAAAAGAAAAGGAAAGAAAAGAAAGGAAGAAAAGCAAAAAAAAAGAAAAAAGGCAAGAAAAAAAAGAAGCAATGTAAAAGAACCGAAAAGAAAAGAAAAAGAAAGAAAAAAAAGAAAGAAACAAAAAAAAAGGAAAGAAAAAATAACGGAGTAAGACCAAAACGAAAAAGGAAAAAAAAAAAAAAAGGAAAAAAACCAAAATGAAAAAGGAAAAAAAAGAAAGGAAACAAAAGCAAAACGAAAAGAAAAGAAAAGAAAATGAAAGGAGCAATAAACAGACGAAAAGGACAGAAAAAGAAGCAAAAAGGAATAAACCAAGCAAATCTTAACGAACGAATAAAAAAAGTAGACGATACAAACATTCTAGTGACCTCGTTGCTATGTCTACTTCTAAAAAAGTTGGTTCACTGTGACGTGCTTGACAGTTTTTTTCTCGCCAGAATCTATCATACGTCTACTATTCGACACCCACCTTGAATATTTCCCCCACATATGATCCGATGCTCCTTCTTATATTTAGAGATTCTTGATAAAATGTCCAAATAATCTGCAATATTCCTGGCCTTGAACTGGCGTCACGGCTTATGTCACTTTTCTACCACCGTATAATTGCTTCCTTGTGCCTTTTCTACAAATACTTACTTTTGCTGTAGTACGGAGAATTGGAATTTGATCACAGTACTAGATTTGCGGCAAGGTCTTATTCGATTCCCACATAAAATGGCTAGATATAACCCTATGCCCTATCATAACAGCCTCTTTTCTCGCACTATTCTCTTGTGGAACTCTCTCCACATTCGATGCTTTCCAGCCAATTTTGATCTTTAAAAATTTAAATACAATGTCAAACGATATAGTCTCGATTCCTCGTCTTATATTGTTCCCGCTCCTTAATAATGTCTTACTTTTTCTTAATCTTTGTGTCCTAGTGGCTTTGCTGCCTTGTTTGGGGTGAAATGAGTAATAAGAAAAATGCTAAAAAATAAAAAGAATGAAAGAAAAAAGAAAATATAACTGATTTTCTTTTTTTTTTCTTTTACAGAATGGTTTTCTGTAGTATGCAGGTTATATAAAACAAGAAATATTTTTAGACTTTAATAATTGTTGGACAAAAAAAGGAGTTACAAGTCTTGCTTAATTAACCCATAGCTAGGGGGAGAAGCGTCTATTTCATAAATTTCCCAAAGGTATTTGAGAATAACTGAAATTGGAGATCAGATTTTCGATTAACAATTTCGGGTCATTATCCATTACATCACCCGCAAAATTACAGCCCCTTACCCCTAGTACGAAAAGGAAACTCAAAAGGTACTGACTAGGCTGGACTTGGCTTAACTTCGGTGATCGTACGGGAACTGATGTTTCAATGTGATATGGCAGTAAGCATATGAAAAGGGGTGAAAGTAAAAAGGAACGAAAAAAGAAAGAAAAAGGAACGAAAAAAGAAAGAAAAAGGAACAAAAAAAGAAAGAATAAAAAAAGGGAGAAAAATAGGAAAAAAAGAAATAAGAAAGGAAAAATAAAAAAAATAATCACGATAGGAAAAAGAATGAAAGAAGAATAAAAAGAAATAAATAAAGAATGAAGGGAAGAAAGAAAAAAGAAAAAAAAAGAAAAACGGAGATGAATGAAAAAAGGGAGAAAAATGGAGGATGAAAAGAGAAAAGAAAGGGAAAAAAAAACCAAAAAAAAAAAAAAAAAAGTGAAAAAAAATAAAAAAAAAAAGAAAAAAAGAAAGAAAAGAAAAAAAAAACGAAATAAAAAAAAAAAGAAAGAAAAGAAAAGAAAAAAAGAAATGAAAAAGGCAAAACGAAATAAAAAAAAAAGAAAGAAAGAAAAAAAGAAAAAAGAATTTTAAAAACGAAATAAAAAAGAAGAAAGAAAGAAAGAAAAGAAAAAAAAGGCAAAACGAAATTTACGAAAATATATAAAAAAAACGAAAAAAAAAAGAAAAAGAAAGAAAGAAAAAAAGAAAAAACTACGAAATATAAAAAAGAAGAAAGAAAGAAAGAAAAGGCAAATAAATAAAAAAGAAGAAAGAAAGAAAGGAAAGAAAAACAGGAATAAAATATATAAAAGAAGAAAAGAAAGAAAAGAAAAGGCACGAAAAATATAAAAGAAGAAAGAAAGAAAAAGAAAGAAAAAGAACTACGAAAAATAAAAAAAAAAAAAAAAAAGAAAGAAAAAAACGAAATATATAAAAAAGAAAGAAAGAAAGAAAGAAAGAAAAATGGCACTACGAAATATAAAAAAAAAAAAAAAGAAAGAAATGAAAAAGGAAAAGGAAGATAAAAAAAAGATAAAAAAAAAAGAAATGAAAGAAAAAAAAAAAAAAAAGGTAAAAACGAAGTAAAATAAATAAAAGAAGAAAGAAAGAAAGAAAGAAAAAAGAAAAAAAGACGAAATATAAAAGAAAAAAGAAAGAAAGAAAGAAAAAAAATTTACTACGAAAAGAAAAAGAAGAAAGAAAGAAAGAAAGAAAAGAAAAAGAAAGGAAAGAAAAAATATAAAGAACTAAATAAAAAAAGAAAAAGAAACGAAAAAAAAAGAAAGAAAGAAAGAAAAGGCGAAACGAAATATATAAAAGAAGAAAGAAAGAAAGAAAGAAAGAAAAGGTAATCACGAAATATATAAAAGAAGAAAGAAAGAAAAGAAAAAAAAGTGAAAGTTGCGTCAAAAGAGGAAAGAATTAAAGAAAGAAAGAAAAAGGCACTACGAAATATATAAAAGAAGAATCTGAAAAGAAAGCTCGTCAGGCACTACGAAATATATAAAAGAAGAAAGAAAGAAAAAAAGAAAAGAAATATATAAAAGAAGTTCCTCATTATTTGAAAAAATTACAGAAATATATAAAAGAAAAGAAAGAAAATGAATAAAATAAAAGAAAGAAAAAAGGATTTAAGAAAAAAATATGTCCTTAAAAAAAAGAAATAAAAAAAATCAAAAGAAAGAAAAGAAAGAAAAAAAGAAAGAAAGAAAAATAAAAGAAAAAGAAAAGAAGAAAGAAAGAAAAAAGAAAAAGGCAAAGAAAAGGAAAAACGAAATATAAAAAAAGAAGAAAGAAAGAAAGAAAGAAAGAAAAAGGCACTACGAAATATATAAAAGAAGAAAGAAAGAAAGAAAGAAAGAAAAAGGCACTACGAAATATATAAAAGAAGAAAGAAAGAAAGAAAGAAAAAAGGCACTACGAAATATATAAAAGAAGAAAGAAAGAAAGAAAGAAAGAAAGAAAAAGGCACTACGAAATATATAAAAGAAGAAAGAAAGAAAGAAAGACCAAAGAAAAAAAGAAAAAGAAAGAAAAAAGGCACTAGAAAATATAAAAGAAGAAAGAAAGAAAGAAAGAAAGAAAGAAAAAGGCACTACGAAATATATAAAAGAAAGAAAGAAAAAAGAACAAAAGAAAAAGGCACTATGAAATATATAAAAAGAAGAAAATAAAGAAAGAAAAAAAAAAAAAGAAAAGAAAGAAAAAAAAAAAGAAAAAAAATACAGAAATATATAAAAGAAGAAATAAATAAAAGAAAGAAAAATTTAAAGAAAAAAAAATAAAAATATAAAAAAAAAGAAAGAAATATAAAGAAAGAAAAAAAGAAAAAATTAAACGGAAATATATAAACAGGAAGAAAGAAAAAAATATAAATGAAGAAAGAAAAGAAAAAAAATAAAAGCAAAAATAAATGAAAAGATAAAGGAAAAGAACAATGAAGAAGAAAGAAAAAAATCGACAAAAGAAAGAACGAATTAATAAAGAATGAAAGAAAAAGTTGTTAAACAGGATAGAAATCTCGAATATAAAAAGTACACACATGTTTATATATATATATATATATATAGTTATTATATATATAAATATATACATTTATATTTTTATATATATATATATATATATATATATATATATATATATATATATATATATATTGTTTGTTCCATTGTTTGTTTAAAACCATTTGCCAACGAAAGACCCTTTAGAGATATGTTAGTTTAAAATGTACCTAGGTGTATAAAAAAAAAAAAAATGGTTATAAAAATAAATATATTTTCATTTAAATCATTATATTTGTTTTGTGGTATCAAAACATGGAACATATATATATATATATATCCCCCTGGGAAAGGAATGAAGTCTTATTCTCCCTCCAGTAATGGGTAAAAATAGCAGGACAGACTGGGTTCTATTTCCTGGAAAACTTGTTTTTAGAGAAGGACAACTCTGAATTCAAAACCTCCGGAGGGTCGTTGGGGGACCTTAGATTACGTTGCACCAGGATATATATTGTATCTTCGTGGGTATTTATATCCTGCATATATATTCATATATATATATATATTATATATATATGACAAATATATTGTAGGTCAGATGTAGCACAAGGTTGAAAATAATTCGTGACCCAGTAAGGAGGGTCATTACTCAATTATTGTTCTATAGATATATATATATATATATATATAATAATCGACTACCCTTTAATGTCGCGTTCGACGTATGAGGGTCAGGTCGATAAGTCCGTAAAGGAAACCGACAGGATGACACCGGCATCATAAGATTTTGTTTATTTTTGAAGGCCATTACAGGACTTGAATTTTATATATATATATTTATATATATATATATATATATATATATATATATATATATATATATATATATAAGAGAGCAAATTTGTCCAAAAAATCCAAAACATTATAATTGTTCATCCCACAAAATGTTTAATATTTAAAAAAAAAATACTAAACTAATTGAGTTTCTTTTTTTCCAGGTTTTCAGATAAGACGTTCAGCCATCTTAATATCTTGATAAGAATCACTGAAAATCCCTTTGAGGTGTTCAGTTATAAAGCGAACAGGCTAGAATTGTTTTTTTGCCAGACCCACTGACTTCTCAACTGAGCAATGAAGAGAGGAAAAATCAGTCACGCTTTTAGTAATGGTACGAAGATTCATACCCTGGCTTCCATTAAGAAACATCAAGAGAACGGTGAATAAGTTTAAAAAAGTAGAAACAGTAGAGAGGGAAACACGACCAGGAGATCACGACAGGAAGATGGATCATCATTTGAAATTAGAGATAAAGAGATCAATTAGAAAAGATCCAACTCAATAAGACGTTTGGCACACGACAGTTCAAAATGCTAGAAAGTTAGAAGGTTAGCGAGGGAATATCATCTTGAATAATTTGGAAGATCATCAAGGAATAATATATACATATTTGAATTTTACTTCAATATTTTATGAACTTTCATGAGCTTCCGATCCTTAGCTAGGATCAATTAATGCTGAACATGTCATTTTCGTTTAGGATCGATTTCATCACGATAAATATATAAAGTAATTATATATATATATATAATTAAATATATAGAGTAATTATATATTTTCAAAGTAGAGTCAAATCGTGTTATAAAAAGTCATGGGAATTCCAATAAGATATCTTTAATCATGTCTAAGTGGTTGAAAAGTATCTCCTATGTTACATATAATGGACTCTCTCCCACCTAAATATAATTTTTATATGAGGGGAGCGTTCATCATATATAAAATAGGGAGTTATTTTTCAAAATATTTTATATATATATATATATATATATATATATATATATATATATATATATATATATATATTTATTTATATATATATACACACACACACACAATTATATATATATATATAATTATTTAAGAAAAAAAGAATTTATAACATAAATATGTTATAAAATCACTACAAAAATAGCCATTTTTTTTCAACACCCTCGGTATTTGTTGGTTATTGGAATTCATTCCATATATACCAATCATATATACTATTATATATATATATATATATATATATATATATATATATAATATGATAATATAATGATTTCCATCAGAAAATACACCTTCTTAATAACATTTACAAGTTCTACTCAAGCAGATACCTCCTCAGAACTGCTATTCTGTGATGCAAACCCATAAGACTATCTTTCCCCGAACAAGACAACGTTAAACTTTTCAACTTCGAGGTCAACTTTTATCTTTCCTACATATCCTCATAATACGCATCTATTTGTGCACCTTTTACGTCCTTGCGACAATTTCATTTAGTAATTTCTTGGGTATTATAATAGGTAAGTAATATTATAAAAATGTAAAAATATATAATTTATCGGATGATATAAGACAAAAAGAATTTCTGTCAATAAAGTTCTCAGTGGGTATTTAGAACAAGCCTACGCAAAATAACAAGCGCCTGCAAGAAGCCTTATGGGCTTCAAGAGGCCTGCGGGCTGCAAAAATGTGATGCATGAGGCCTGCAGGCTTCACGTGACCCCCGATACAGTATACTGTAGTCCACCAGTGGTTTTACAAAATAGTCAATTTTTTGTTCACCAGAAAAAAAAAATCGATCGGATACGAAAATTTCAGTTTTGTGGAAGCATTACGCACGAACAGGTTATGATTTCAATGTTCGGGGAAACAACCTCTTGGGAGTCGGTTCCACAAGGAAGTGGTTCGTAGAAAGAAGCTGCTCCAGTGGAACTTACATCTCACTAAAGGAATACAAGGAGGGATGTCCGCTATAACATGCGTCGCATGCTGGGTCTTCGCCTTGAAGGTTAAAACTGGTGGAACTAAATGTGTTTCCTCTGAATACTCACCATGGCTTGTGACTTTCGTCTGTGACGGGTGGAAAATAATTTGTTACCCACAAGGACATGGAGACGCTTCTGGATTCTATAGAGCAGCGTTTCTCAATTTTACCCTGGCGTATCCCTTAAAATAAATTACATGTCTCACGGAACCCCTGCGCATAAACAAAATTATATAGCATATATTTCTTATTTTATTTTCGTCGTAGTTCACGTGGTAAATATCATAGTATATATTTTTGAATAACTAATTTAAGGAAAAATTGTTACTTCTTTGTCAATTTTTTTCCGTAAGGCTATATAAAATTGATACTTTTCATTTATAATACTTCATCAGGGAGTTTTCATTCACACAAAAGAAGTTCTAAACTCAAATGTAATAAATAAACATAAGTAACCAATATCATATACTAATAATATAAATGTAAACGGAACGAAAACAGTTAAGTGTTGCATCAGTTTTTTTTTTTTTTTATTGTTTTGTTCTTTACTGGCAAATTGAAAAGACATAAGGTAAAGCAAGGCAAAATGTTCTGTGAACCAAATAATGGGCTAAAAAATGATACTGTCAAACCGTTCTGATAAAGTGAAAGAAGCTTCTCTAATGTGAAGCCTGTGCCTGTCTTTTGCTACAAAAATACTAAATTCCAGGTTGAACTTTAGATAAACACAGACAGATTTCATTCGCAAACGAGCGGAGACGATTTCTGTCTTTGCTCTTGATAAGAAAAAAAAAATAAGAAAAGACTTGGTCACACGTGTAAGACGGAGAAAACTGCAACACTATATTAATTGCTTTCCTGTGAATAGTAGGACACTCTTCTTTTCACAGAAATCCAGAACTTTTCCAGAGGTAGGTCTGTAAATCTTGAGTGTACGATCAAACTGCAGCTCACAAAGTTCTTCCTCTTCTTTCAATGTCAGATTTTCAGGATGACAAGCAGATTCAGATTATGGATCATCCTCCCAATCCTACAAAGGTATTATTGAAAGGGAAGGAAAATGATATTCAATTATTCAAAAAGATTATATTATAGAGTGGGAAGTAAAAAAAAACGACCAGCTCCTGGCAGTAGTACCCTATTTTCGGCCTGATTTTGTAAAGGTGCAGGATAGAAGGACGAGTCAGGCCGTTCAGTATCTGTCTATATTTCTGAGATGAGGTATTATGTACACTATTTACATTGATCGGACCACCTCGGAGAAAGCCAATCCGCCGAAGTCAAACATCACGAAACTGGAGAGGCTGGCAATCCGAGGAATGAAAACATAATCATACTACTGGCTGACAAAAGGCAATGTAACTGTAGTGATGGACAAATCAAATTATACAGGAAAGCTGGAATGATAGCTTACAGCAAAGTAAAAAAGAATCCTACAATGAAAACGGAACACAAACTGTCACAGATACTAATCAAGAAATACGATCACTTCACACCTATGATGTATAGGCAGTTGTTGCAGCATTACACCAAGTTACCTCACATATACAGTCTCCCTAAGATTCACAAATACGGTATTCCACTCAGGCCGATTGTTAGTTTCCAAGGCTCTGTGTGCCACCCTCTGAGTCACTTCCTTTTAGATATAATTGACCCATTGATCGGAAAGTCTCCTTCATATGTGTTATAGTGGAACACACATATTCTATAGTTAATAGACTCTCACACCTATAATACGTAGGAGTAGTAAGTATAAAGGCTGTGTCTCTTAGTGAGTTGGTCAGTCAGTCAATGCCGACTTGGGCGCCTGGGTTGAAATGCCTCAATAACGATGAGGCATCACTCACCTGGCTGGTGGTTCGTGAAGCCCTCTAGGTCAGCAAGAGACTTTGTTCAGCAGGCTTGGAGAAATATCCAAACTGTCGTCGCTGTGCGGGGGAAGTCGAGACCATCGGTCACGCCTTCTTTCAGTGCAGGGCGGTAGTGCCGTTGTGCAAGTTTGTTGAAGGCCTCATGGTTCGCATGCTGCGGGGAAGGTTTTTTGTCCTTGAAGCCAGTTCTGTTTGTTGCAATGTGGTGCCGCAGATGGCGAAGGCTGAACACTATGTGTTCTGTTGCTTGCTAGGGGTTATGAGAGTCGTGATTTGGACGACGCGTCAGAAGGGATACTATGAGGGCGAGAAGTTCACTTCTTCCCAACTGATCTTGTTCTTTAAGCATCTACTTAAAGTCAAGATTAGGACGGAAAGGCGGCGGCTCACCTCATCAGAATTTGGCAAAAGGTGGGTGAATCTTGCGCGTATGTGCCGAGTAAAAGGGACTGACCTTGAGTGGCATTTGGATGCCGGTTAGGCATCAGGATATTGTTTAACTGGGTTGAACATAGGCAACCCATCCCGAAATTAGGTTAACATAGGTTTTGTTTTTGAAGTTTTAGTTTTTCTTTTTTCAGTAAACTTAGCTAGGGTGTGTTTGCTCATTGGTGAGTTTTTTATTTCTGTTCCCATTTTTTTCCTTTAGTTTAACTCCCCATCCCTCCCTCGTTTAGGTGGTCAGTGATGTCAGTTCTCTGGTGGATGTGGTGCGCCTTTCGTTTCGTGTGTGTGTTTTTCGTATTTGTTGTTGTGTATGAATGAGTGTGTGCCTGTGTGAATGCTTGGGAGGAATGAATGTGTCTTTTATTTTCATAAGTCCCGCATCGATTTCGTCCGGTTAACTGATATTTCTGCCACATTTAAAATTTGTGGGGGGGGGGGTATTACTAACACTAATTTTGTTTAGTTTCTTGTAATTATATTTGTCATTTTGTATATTCTCATTGGGGATCTTTTTAAAAAATTGTTGTTTTTATCCCCCCCCCAGACAATACTTGTACATAAGAGGAGTATTTAGGATTTTCATTGAGTCAAAGAGGCATTTTAATAAACGTAGTAAGAAAGGTATGGATAAATGTGTTGTTTTGGTGAAAGGAATATTGTTTTGTATGATAGGGTCAGTGGTTGTGGCTAGCTAAGTTTTATACTAAGACAAGTAATGACCGTCCTTTACCCCAACCCCCCTTTCGGTCTTGTGCCACATTTCCTCAACAGAATTACCAATGAAGAAGACTGAAGAAGGATCCAAAATGACCTGGATAAATCCTTCAGACATGAATTTAATTTGATATAGTCAAGGCTCGCCAAGTACAAAAATTAAATAGATTGAAAGATCAGAAGGTGACACACAAAGTCCATCACCCACCAGTGAAAGCAGTAATCAACATCAACCAATATCAGCTGAGTGCCTCTTAGGAGTCAGTATTAAATAAGGGTTTCAACTTCGCCACAAACATCAGGTGAGTACCATACTTGGACATCATTGCCAGAATCAAGTTAGTGGCCTTGAACTTACCTCAGGCTCAGGCAGATGAACTAAGATGGAGGACCTTGGAGAAAGCCAAGCCGCCCGGGACAAACATCACGAAGCTGGAGAGGCTGGCAATCAGGTTCCGGCAGAGGAATGAAAACATAATCATACTACTGGCTGACAAAGGCAATGTAACTGTAGTGATGGACAAATCAGATTATACAGAAAAGCTGGAAGACCTCTTTAGAAATGGTAGCTACAGCAAAGTAAAAATAGAATCCTACAATGAAAACGGAACGGAATCTGTACAACAAAGTCCAATTAATGTAAATAGTGAGTCAATTAATTACTGGACCAATACAGCGAACCAACTATTTTCCAAGCATATTTAGCAATGCATTGTATATACGACTTTCTTGTATCTTGGATAATTAGTTTAAATTTATTTATTTATTAACCATGTGGCTTCTGGATATTTCAGTTCCAGTTATTACCCTTTCGTAACTCAACTCTCAAAGGGACTGAACTCTTAACTGGGTCAAGTCACTAGATTTCTCCGACCATACAAGGACATATAGCCCAGTTGATAAAAACGCTGGTTGAGGTAATCCATTGACTTGACCCAGTTGTGAGTTCAATACCTGGCCACAGCAAAAGTTAACACGGAGCAATGGAGTTACTAATGTGGGTTCACTGAACCTGAGATATCCAGAAAAAGACACCATTCTTTGTTTGTAATGAAACTTTCCTGTTTCTTAATACTTTGTTTAGCTTTTGGAAGGCATTTTTGCTATTCCAATTTCCTTTTGGATCTTTGTGACACATTTTCCCTGAACTGTTAAAAAATTGTCAGAACCTCTTTCAAAAATAACTCGCTATTTTCTATCTTAAAATATTTGGTCTCTTTATGTCTGAGAAGTAGTTGGCGTCATTGAGCAAACTATTTTCTAGTGAGAGATATATACCTTTAAATGCCATGTTTCTTCAGGTTGTAAGCAATCATGGCTCTACATAAATTCTATTTCCTTATTAACTTGTCAATTTCCATGATTCATGTTAGTGATAGTGAAGTTGTTTCTTGCTGCCAACCCAAGAGATTTGAATTCTGGGTAATCCTCCTCCAAGACTGGCTGCTACTCAGGAATAAAAACTCATTCTACACTGGTTTGTAACCACAGTGTAAGGACAAATGTATTCATGTCTTTCCCAAGTGCATTAGTGTGGAAGTGAGAGAAAAAGACTAAGCCAGAATTTGAACTCTTTTTGCCGACTTCATTACCCCACCCACATACCACCTTATTAAAACTCAAGCAGTATTTGGATCTGATATGATTTATTGACTATTTATACTGGTGCCGGAAGATGGTGT